AGGAGAAAAAAAATCAGAGGAAGAAAGATATAATTACATCCAGGAGAATAAGAATAAAAAGAACAGCTGACCTCTCATCAAAAACAATGAAAGTCAAGAAGACCATAGAATGGCATCCTTTAGAATGCTGAAATAAAGCCATTTTTATACTAAGCAAAAATATCTCTCAAAAATAAAGGTGATACTGTATGGCACAGGGAACTATATTCATTATTCTGTGATAAACCATAATGAAAAGAAATATGAAAAAGAATGTATTTTATTTGTGTATAACTGAACCATTGCTATACAGCAGAAATAACACAACACTGTGAATAAATTGTATCCTTCAATAAAATAAATAAAATCAAAGGTGAAATACAGGTATTTTCAGATAAGTGAAAGTTGGGAAAACCGGTCACCAGGGGACTCACATGGCCATAACTGGTAAGGGAAGCTCCTCACGGGAGTTTGCTGGCAGTCCAGTGGTAAGCACTTGGCACTTTCACCACCATGGGCCTAGGTTCAGTTCCTGGTCAGGGAGCGGTCCCCATAAGCCATGCAGTATGGCCAAAATGAAATAAAATAAAGTTAAAAAAAAAAAAAAGGAACTTCAGGTTGAAGAGAAATTAAACCATGTAAAAACCCCACTAGATAATGTTTAATATTTGTTTTCAACACTCATACATATTTTAAAAAAGTTAGAAGGGAAAAAACAATATTTTATAATTTTGAAGATGTTTACTATTTCTGCTTGTCTTTCCTCATTCCTGCTCATAGTTTTCTTCTGGTGATACCTTGCTTAAGCCTTGTTATTTCTTTAAATTAAATCTCCTAGAAATCCTCTTATTTCTTTTTCACCTGAGAATGTCTTACTTCGTTTTCATTTCTGAAGGAATACTTTTGAAGAATTTAGACCTCTGGGTTGATAACAGTTTCTTTTCCTTTTCATTAATTTCAAGTGTGTTTTCTTTTATCATATGAAATATTGTTATAATATGGGCTTTTAAATCTGTGTGTAGTAGCTCCAACATTGGTAATAACGAGGTTGGTCTCTGTGCTCTCCCTCGAGAATTAGTTATAGTTTGCTCATTTTCTGTATGCCCAGAAATTTTGGATTATATTCTGAATGTTGTGTAGACTGCATTCTTTTATCATCCTCTGGAAAATACTGATGTGTTTGTTTTTGCAGGCAATCAACATGGTTAGGTTTAGCCTCTTAAGTTCTGTTTCTCCTTTTGTGTGTGGTAGTAAAAATCTCAGTTTAGTTCACAAAGCTCTTGTTATGCTGGTTTGAGTCTATCTCACACATGGGTTCCCTGGTGGGTCAGAGAGTGAAGAGTCTGCCTGCAGTGTGGGAGACCTGGGTTCGATGCCTTGGGTCGGGAAAGATCCCCTGGAGAAGGAAATGGCAATCCACTCCAGTATTCTTGCCTGGAGAATTCCATGGACCCTACAATCCATGTGGTCGCAAAGAATCGGACACGACTGAGCACTGTACTGCTCCATGCCCACACCCCCCTCAAGATGACCCTGAGACTTGTGTGGTTTTAGATCCAGAATTAGGAAATCCCTTCTCTAGCTCTCTCCACTGTGGGATACTCCACTCTTCCCCAGGCCCCAAAGGGCTCCTTTTCTGGCTCCTCTAAGCAGAAAGATGAGATTTCTATTAGAGTTTCAGCAGCCTGCCCCACTGTGCTGCTTTGGGAGGGGGCCCATACTCAGGACAAATCCACCAGAGACAGAAAATTCACTCTGTGTAGTTGCATCTCCAAATTTTGCTCTCCTCCACAATCTGCTTCCTTTCATTTACAGAGTCTTTGGGTAATTATATTTTGCCTGGAGTTTTTAGTTGTAATTAGTGGGAAGGATAATCTGTAGTGGTTTCTGCCACCATAGGGGAGCTGAAACATATACGTTCTTTTTCAAAGTTTCTTTTCCCTAAATTTCACCATCTCTTTACTCATTATCCATTTTCCCTCTCTGCCACAGATTAAAGCAATCAACACAACTGTTTTAAAGTCTTTGTATGCTAGCTCCAAAAGCTTATTTTGTTTCTATGACCTGAGTTCTCTTGGCTACAGGTCAGCTTCTCAGTGTCTTCAAGTGACCAGCAATTTCTCACTATCTACTCAAGACTTGGGGTGATATGTTACAGGAATTTCATTCAAAAGACAAGTCATGTACATTGAATCTCCTTGAGTGTGGGTCCCTTTTTTTTAAACAAAACATTTTGTCTGGAGTTTATAATTGTTATAGTATGTTTGGTATCATGCACACTGCTCAACTACCACCAGATTACATATCCTTCTAAAGAAAGCTTCCTTCCCACCCTCCGTTCCTGCTTGGAATCCTACAAACACTGTTTGAGTTTACTATTTTTTAAAATCTCCCTGAGATCCTACTCATCAGCCTCTTGCTCCCACACCCACACAAATCAAAACAAAGACACAGAGAAAAGCATAACTTGATCAAGGCCCCACAAGGGGCTTCCCCAGATGTAGATAAGTTCTGTCTCATTCATTAACATCCATAGCCTACGGAGATAACGTATTTCCATAACACAGATTTGTTCAAATATTTATCATGCAACTATTATGTGCTCTGAATCCTGTCCCAAAGGGCAGTAACATAAATATAAAAATGAAAGTGTGATTTGCAGTCTGCACTAGCATCATTTACCGTTTTGCAGAATACCAGGATCTCAGGACTGACTCACCACAGGCCCACTGAATCAGAAGCAGCATTTCAGCAAGATGCTTGGGTATTTCACGTGCATGTTCCTGTTTGAGAGACACTAATATAAAGTGCTCTGTCTTTCAATAAAACAATGACTGTACAGCCTCTCATTCTTTACTCCCCTGTGATCCTATGTGTAGCGGAAGGGGTGGTGGCCTGAGAGAGCATCTGGCAATATGTTCTGAGGACCTCCCACCTCATGGGTACCTCAGAAATGTTTTGAAATTTTATGTTCATTAATTATGCTCATGAGTTAATTATTCTCATTCTGCAGAGAAGGAAACTGAAGATAAAGAAGGCTAAATAAATGGCCCCCAAGGTCACAAAGAAGTGGCCAAAGCTGAATCTGAAACTATAACTGACTGAACTGCAGAGCCTGTAAAATACTTTGCATTCTACCACCGTCCCTGGTCTGTGGTTCAGAAGAACCAGGTACTAACTAGCTCAGTGACCTTGGTTAGTTCATTCTAGCTGTGTAGAACTCAGCCCCTCATGTGTATGTTGATGGAGTTTGCCTGAACTAGCGAAAGTTCACAGATGAATCACGCTGCTTGAGGAAAATGAGTTTTTTGAGGCAGATTTCAAACTGAGTATTGGGAGTGTGTGAAAATGACTCAGAAAACCTGAATCACAGAATAGCATGGTGTAGAGAAACGAGTACACGACCAGAAAGGAGAAGCTTGGGTTCTAGTCCTACCTCTGTCATTCAGAAGTCCTGAGTCTTGGTTTCTTCATCCGTGAAACAGAGAGAAGTGATCGACCCTAGCAATCTCTCAGTGTATGACTACAAGGAGATCCAACCAGTCCATCCTAGGGGAGATCAGTCCTGGGTGTTCATTGGAAGGACTGATGCTGAAGCTGAAACTCCAATACTTTGGCCACCTCATGAGAAGAGTTGACTCATTGGAAAAGACCCTGATGCTGGGAGGGATTGGGGGCAGGAGGAGAAGGGGATGACAGAGGATGAGATGGCTGGATGGTGTCACCGACTCAATGGACATGAGTTTGAGTAAACTCTGGGAGCTGGTGATGGACAGGGAGGCCTGGCGTGCTGCAGTTCATGGGGTCGCAAAGAGTCGGACACGACTGAGCGACTGAACTGAAGTGTGATTATGCATGAAAATATTCTGTGATGTGATTTATCAATAAACCAGCTAACTGCCTTAATTCTCATAACACAAATTAGTTATTTCTAAGTTAATTAATACAAGAACGTGATTTGCAATCTGCTGGCCATGGTACAATTGGGAACCAGTTCCGGCAAGTCCACAAGCTCTGTGCTTTTGTTTACCCTAAAGATGAGAATAAAAGGTAAAAAAAGTATGTACAGGCTCTGTATCTGAGAGTTTTTTCAGTGTCAGAAAAACAAAAACTTAACTCTAGAGCAGGGAGTTCTTGCTACAACTTTCTGTGATGATGAAAATATTGTGTATTTGCATGACCCTGTATGGCAGCCACTGGCTGGCCACGTGTGACCAGCAAGCACTTGAAATATGGCTGGAGCAACTGAGGAACTTAATTCTTAGTGTTATTTAATTAAAATAATTTTCTTTTAAATTTATGCTATTACAGACATCTTTGGCATCTATTTTCTTTCATCATCCCCACAGTCACAGCTGTGACTTACTTTGCTGTGTCAGGTCGTAGCTGCACACATGCGGGACTTTTGCTGTGGCTGCTGCGCTGTGGCAAGGGGGCTTAGCTGCTCCATGGCCTGTGGGCGCTTAGTTCCCCAACCAGGAATCAAACATGTATCCCCTGCGCTGGCAGGCAGATTGTGAATCACTGGACCACCAGGGAAGTTCCCGTTTTATTTAACTTTAATTGACTCAAATTTAGATAGCCACATGTGGAGAGTGGCTGCCGCACAGAACGCCGCAGTGGTAGTGCAAAACTGAGACATGGATTTATTCAACAATGTTCAGGTTTTATAGCTATATTGTTAGGGTCAACAAAGGCAGCTGACTTTGTTTTCAATTCTGAAACTCTAGCTTCTTAATGCCTTTTCCCCAAATTAAACACAATTCTTATAGCAAGACTTTTGATAATGAAAGGCTTCTTTGGAATCCAAGTATCATTATATAGCAACGTAGACGATACCAATAAAATGTGAAGGCTACCTAAACTAGAGCAACGGTGTTTTTGTTTTATAATTATGTATCTGGTCACCTGGAAAGATATAGTGATAGTTTACTCCCGCGTCTTCAAAATTAAAAAGCAGAGGCTGAAAAGGACTGGGCCCCGCGAGCGGGACTCGGACTCGGCAAGGCCCGCGCGCCTACCGTGTGTTTTCGGCCCTCCGGCTTATGCACTGGTGCAGGTAGAGGTACTCCTGCGGCGCGCTGGTGGACAGGGCCGGCTGCCCGTGGTTCGACAGCGAGGGCTCGAAGGTGAACAGGGTCGGCTGGCTGGAGTGCGACGGGGCCGAGGCCTTCCGTTCCCGGAGGAGGTGCTGGCTGGAGCTGCTGAGCTCCGCTGGAGAGGAGCGCGGCCCGTGCGAGGCGGAGGAGATGTTCCTCAGGGAGTCTGTGAGCAGAGAGGAAGAGCGGTGTGAGGGGAAGGGGAAGGGGAAGGGAAGGCGGCCCTCGCCCGGGCCAGGCGGTCGGAGGAAGAGGGGCTGTGAGGGGCAGAGGCAGCGGGCCAGCAGCAGGAGCGTCCCCACTGCCCCGCTCCTGGCTCAGGGCCTCCGCGCTGCCCCTGGGGTCGCCCGGAGGCCACCATCGCCCCGGCACCACCTGCCCCGCCTCCGGGAGGCGAGGCTGCTCTCGGTCCAGGCGTGGACTCGGGTGCTGGGGCGAGGCCAGCCGTGGGCAAGGGAAGGCCACTGCCTCTCCTCTCTCTGGGGGCTCCCGGGGCATCGCCTCCCTCAAAGCTAGCTGGCTTTATTAAATGAAGCTCTGCTTCCTGAAGACTTACTCACCGAGGGGCCTGGGCCATGTGTCACTGCGCTACCTGATAAAAGTACATGGAACCGTCAGTCCTTCAGAGCGGTCCCAGCCCCTCCAGCCTGCCCTTCCACGTCCTCCCAGGACGATGCTGCCCTGCCCCTGTACCCGCCACTCTCTGTCTATGGGGCTTTTTTTTTTTTCTTAACTCTTATCTTTAACTCTCGCTGTTGTGTTAGAAAGGAAGCGAGGTATTAAAGACAGATAATAGTTTAGAGTGCTACACCCCAAGCCAAGGGCATTATTCATTTGGCTGGCTCTCTAAGCTTAGTCCAAATGCCTTAGCACAACATACAAGGGCTTTCACAGTCTGACCTATTTCCTGCTTTCCTCCTCCCATACCCCAGGCATATGGAAGCTTCATCAGTCCATGGACACACCAGCCCCTTTTATGATTCTTTATTTTGGTTTGGGCTGTTCCTTCCGCGTGGATTTTACTCCTTTGGCGTTCATAGGCAGACTTTTAAGACCCTACACGGATATCATATTTTCCCTGAAACCTTCCTGGACCTGGCCATTGTTCTGGGTGTGAACAGCATGTGGCCCAAGCTTCATTATATCCACTGTCATCCTGCTTCCTTGCCTGGCCCATGGATGTCTAAAAGCAGTGATTGGTGATGTTACCTCTTCAGTGCCAGCATTTACCTAATAAAGCCCAGGTACATAGGACAAGTTGTGAGTCTGTCTTTGCAGAATAAGCAAAAAAAAAAAAAAAAAAAAAAAATGTATTCAGCATACAGTAATTCCACCAGCAAAACTTTTTGCTCAAAAGAAAGGTTAAAGATGTCATTTCTGGCAGTGTGATGGCCAGTGGGGGTTGAGGTGTTAGTGGTGATGATAGGGGCTTTCTAGGGCGAGTGAACACTTCAGAGGGGACTTAGTTCTCTTTCTACCCCGTTATCTGACCTGTTTTAGCACCCTTCTCAGGGCCCAGGGCGGGATCACCAGCTCTACAGTGTTAATGAGTCTCCAGTCTTTTCTGATGCTGGACAGGACAGCTAATGCCAGCATATAGCAGGAAACGCCACGGGCCTCTGGGGAAAAACTGTTCCATCGACAGTTCTGTCGGCCTCCAAAGTGAATGCCCATTATAGGTCTTGTGAACTGGATGTCTGTTAACAGAATCAATGGCTTCGTTATGCCATTAGATGTGCGAGATGAGCTCTCTGATGGCAGAGGAGAGGGTCGACAACCCAGGAGAGGAGAAGGCCCAGCGCCAGGGGAGACCCAGGGGAGGTGGCAGGGCAGCCTCTGGGGGCATCCTACGCTGTCCGTGGTCTTCTGCACCCTCCTCCCCGACCAGCCCTTCCAGGGGGGCTTTCCTCAGCGCTCTGCCCACACCCTCCTGTGACCTCACTCTCCCTCTGGAGACTCTCCAGGGTATCCTGTCCGCTCTCACAGCTTCCGCCATCTGACGACAGCTCACAAATCTTAATCGCTGGCTCGCTTCTCTCTCCTGAGCTCTCTGTCCTATAATTGTTCCCCGTCCCTTCCTCCCCGCCAGCCCCCCAAACTGCCGGGCACCTCCATTCAGCTGTCCCACAAGCAGGTCAAACTCCACAATCTCAGTGGAGCTCCTCCTGCATTCTGTATCTCAGTGAAGCACATCAACACCGCCATCCGGTCAGTTCTCTGAGACAGAAACCCAGGCATTATCTATCACCCTTCCCTGTTTCTCAATGACCACCTCATGTCATTATGCCCCTGCCCTGCTTAAAATGCAACAATGGATCCCTGCGATACTCAGGATGACTTACAAACTCTCTCTTCTTAAAACCACTTTCCTGTTTATTTCTTCAACTGTGCTTCTCACTTGGTCTTTCTTGTGTTTCAAACAGAATTTCAGGAGAACACCAACCTCGTCTGTATCACTCCATACATTAGGCTATAAACTCAGTGAGGGCAGAGATACTGTCCCTTTTGTAACAATTTTATCACTAGAATGAAGCCCCGTCTATGACACAACTCCACAATCATGTGTTGATTAAATGTCTGAAGTACATAGCATAATAAGTCAAACCCCCTCAATACCATCCGTGACTCCTCATTACCTTCAGAATAAAGACCAGGTTCCTCAAACTGACAAGAATAGCCATTTTGTGACAACCAACTTATCCTGCCTTGTCACCCAATTCCTTCTTCATGTCCTCTATGTTGTGGGTCAAGCATTCAAAGGAAGACTGACCCAGCCTCAGTGCCTCCAGCTCAGGCTGGGGATTCAAAAGCGACGCAGTCTGTTTAGTCACAGAGGAGGAGAAATCATTTCACCCTAGTCTCAGTTCCCTTATTTACAAATTGCCAGAGGGTGGCTGTAAGAAGAAACGCAGAAAGGGTGAGAGAAATGCCACAAGTTGTAGGTACTCAAAATGTGTTCCAGCCTCCTCTATTATCTCTGGTGCCTAGAACAGTCCCAGCACATAGTGGGTATTCATTACATATGTGTTGAATGAATAAAACAATTTTCTCTGGCACAAAAATCCATTCATGCTTGTTTCTTATGGTCAAAATCAGAGAGGTTTTCGAGGTCTGGTAATAAGATGGAGTAGGGGTTAGGATGAGTTGGGCCCAGAGACACTTGGAATTCCACTCTTTTGACATAAAGCCACGTCTATGAAACCAGTTAGCTCCGTAATGGTCTACAGCCCCAGGACAGTTCTTCCAAAGCTGTTTTGGCATGAAACTTTGCCAAAAATCCTACCTCAGCTTGCAACTTTAAAAGACTTCTATCTAAATTCATGTGATTACTCCTTGGTGTCTTAATGGGTTCAACAGTGTCCCCTCCAAAACCCATGGAACCTCAGAATGTGACCTTATTTGAAATTAGGGTCTTTGCAGATATAATGAATTAAAATGAAGTTACAAGGGGTTAGTGTGGGCCTTACTCCAGTGACTGGAGTCCTTATAAGAAAACAGAGACAAAGACACACAGGCAGAACACAATGGGATGACAGAGGTAGAGGCTGGATAGACAAAATGTGGGATATTCATACAAGGGAACATTATTCAGTCACATAAATGAGTGAAATACTAACAACATGCCACAATATGGATGAACCCCCAAAACACTGTACTAAGTGAAAGAAACTAGTGACAAGAGACTATGGGTCACATGACTTTGTTTATGCAAAATGTCTAGAATAGGAAAATTCAAAGACAGCAAGTAAACTAGTGGTTGCCTGGGAAGGGGGTGGGGTGGTAAGCAGGAATGGAAAGTGACTGCTAATGAGAATGGTGTTTCTTTTTGAGGCTGATGAAAATTTTCTAAAATTAGACTGTGGTGATGGTTGCACAACCCTAGGAAATACTAAAACCACTGAACTGTATACTTTAAATGGGTGACTTTCATGGTACAAGAAATTGTTGCTTAGAAGCTAAGCCGTGTCCGACTCTTTCGTGACCCATGGACTGGAGCCCGCCAGGCTTCTCTGTCTGTGGAATTTCCCAGGCAAGAGAACTGGTAGGCTAGCCATCCCCTTCCCCAGGGATCCCTGACTCAGGGATCGAATCTGCATCTCCTGCACTGGCAGGCAGATTCTTTACCACTGAGCCACCAAAAAGCCCAATATAGGAAAAATATCTCAGTAAATTTATAAACACACACAGTCGACAGTTCCTCAAAAAGTTAAACACAGAATCACCACATGACCCAGCAATTCCACTTGTAGGTATATACCTAGGAGTAATGGAAACATGCGTCCACAGAAAAACCTGTAAACACAGCAGCTTTACTTATTATAGCCAAAGTGGAAACAATCCAAATGCCTATAAGCTGATGGATATATAGAGAAAGTGGCATATCACATAATGGAGTATTATTCAGCAGTAGAAAGAAAAAAGTACAAATACATGTTACAAAATGAATAAACCCTGAAAGCATTGTGCTAAGTGAAAGGAAGCTAGATTCTACTTGTATAAAATGTTAGAATTGGTAAATATTCAGAGACAGAAAATAGATTAGTAGTTGCTTAAGGCTAGGGTGATGATGGAAATAGGAAGTGACCTCTAATGGGGACAAAGTTTCTTTTTGGGGGTCATAAAAATGTTCCTAAATTAGATTGTGATGATGGTTGCACAATCCTGTGAATATACTAAAACCACTGACTTGTATACTTTGAGTGATATATAGTATGTGAATTAAACACACACACAGGCATAAGCCCTTTGCAAAGTGTGCAGTGTAAAATATATGCAAGAGATTAACAGTCATCCAGTTAAACTCATGTGACCTTTAGTTTTTCTTTATTTCCTCTCTGAAAACTGAACATTCAGTAAATACCAAGCTCTCGCTAAACTCCCTTGAGAAAAAGACATTCCCTGCTTCCTACCTTCAGTTCCCTATACCTCCTCCAACCCCACTGTAAAGGGCTTCACCCCATGGTCATAGCAAGGCAGTGGGCAGCTCAGGTGAACAAAAAGCTAGAACTTATGGTTTGGGGTGAAAAGCCTTAAGCAGTTGGAATTCCACCTCACAGTGTATGGGCCTCGTGCATGCGACAGGCATCAGGAGACCAGGGACCCGGTTCCAACTCTGCCTTTATGAGGCCGTGGACAGGCCTCCGGGCTCTGGCTGCTTACTTGTGA